ATATATATATATATATATATATATATATATATATATATATATATATATATATATATATATATATATATATATATATAGGGACTGGTTCCTGTAAGAATGCACCTTGTGCAGAGAAATGAGAATGAAATCTAGCCGTTAGATCTGATGCATTGTGCGGCTCAGATTGCAGCCTGCACTCAGATTTTGAGATAGTGCATTTTCAAAGGATTATGATGCATTTCGACGTGATGCATTTTTAAATCATTTTGGTGCATCTGATTTTGATGCAATCCTGGCCCTTAGATCTCACAATCTAAAGCACCAGATTCATTCTCATTTCTCTCCTAAGATTGCATTCTCACCAGAACCAAAATCTATATATATATATATATATATATATATATATATATATATATATAGACACACACATACACACACACACACACACACACATATATATATAGGATAGGATAGGATAAGATAGGATAGGATATGGAGTAAAATTAATGTGCATTTTATTGCTAATCTATCCATTCTTAATTAATTACCATACGCCTAATTATGTACAGTTTTTAAATTTTGCCCTTGAGAATCCCAATTATTCATTCGTGGTATGCTTCAAATTTTCATTATAAAAGATTAAACACTTTCATGTTTAAGCACATTTGAACTCTAATCTCATACGAAGTATTTTTTTTCGTGCTAGTAAGAGCTTGTTTGGGAGTGATTAACTTTTGGATAAAGTGATTTCCACAAAAGCTGAAAGCAAAAACATCTCATACCTGTTTCTTCGAAACGGTGTTCTGTGTAGAAAATAGTGGCAGTGAAAAGCAGAAGCTGGTCTGCCAAACAGAATAAAATCACTTTTACTCAAAGCAGAAGCTAAATTATTAAAAGCAACGCACCGCCAAACACCCTCTAAAAAAGAAAATCAAATGTCTACCAAGTTGGATATCTTCAAGCTTTCTCTTTTGTTGTTTCTTTGGGCATTGAGCTTTCATGGCGGACACGCAAAGGACGTGAGGCGTTCAAACATCATCGGTGGCACGAAGTATTCTCGGGCGACAACTTCACGTTTTCCGGTGTTATCGAAGGAAGGAATGGTCTCGGCGTCTGCCCCATCGCCGAATAACAACCATGTCATGGCAGCCGGTGGTGACTGATTCAGTAATCCATATTATTTTTATTTTTTAAACTAAGAATAATCTTTAAAAAAAGAAAAAGAAATGATGATGGAGGTAGAAAGTAATTTAAAAAATTTAAATAAAAAATTTAAAAAAGACCAAATAAAGTTGGGATTATTTTGGGTAATTTTTTCTTTTTAGTTTAACCCGCAAACACTGCCCGTTTAAAACCCTAGAGGATTATTCGATCGGGTTATATATGTTGGGCTTGAGATTGGCCCATGTGGTCACCAAGATCTATTACGAATTTCCGAGCAATTTACAGTACTACCTAAACCATATGCCCCTTCTCATCTCGCCTTAACAAATGTGGATGATGATGATGATGTCCCGCTTCAACCGATTAATCCAGCCTACGGTATCTTCATCTTTCTCTCTATCTCTCCTAACATTTTTCATATAAAGAGGATTGACTCCAATATTTGGCTCTAATTCCGAAGCTTCCATGCTTGTTCATTCGCTGTGCAATTGGATATTGGAAAAAATAAAGCTTTGTTCAATCGCTGATTTGCAGAAGTTTTACTCCAAAATTTGGTTCCAATTTCAAAGATTTTATATTTTTTCAATCAGTGATAGGCAGATGCTGTAGTCCAAAATTCGGATCCAATTTCAAAGCTTCGATCTCTGTTCTATCGCTGCAAAATCTGAATTGATAAAAATTAAAGCTTTGTTCAATCCCTGATACCCGAAATCGGTTTTACTCCAAAACATGTTTCTAATTTCAAAGCTTCTATCTTTCTTCAATCGCTGATATGCAGAGGTTTTGCTCCAAAGTTCTGTTCTAATTTCAAAGTTTCAATCTTTGTTCAATCGCTGATATGCAGAGGTTTTACTCCAAAATTTGGTTCTTTTTTCAAAGCTTCAATCTTTGTTCAATCGCTGATACACAGAGGTTGTACTCCTAATTTTGGTTCTAATTTTAAAGCTGCAATCTTTGTTCAGTTGCTGTGACATCTGTTATTGTCAAAAATTAATGCTTTGTTCCGTCACTGATATGCAGAGGTTGTACTACAAAATTTGGTTCAAATTTCAAAGCTTTGATCTTTGTTCAATCGCTGCGAAATCCGTTATTGTAAAAAATTAAGGGTTTGTTCAATCGCTGATATGCACCAAAATTTGGTTCCAATTTCAAAGCTTCGATCTTTGTTCAATCGCTGTGAAAACGGTTATTCACTAAAATTAAAGCTTTGTTCAATCGCTGATATGCAGAGGTTGTACTCCAAAATTTAGTTCCAATTTCAAATCTTTGATCTGTGTTCAATCGCTGCGAAATCCGTTATAGACAAAAAATTAAAGGTTTGTTCAATCGCTGATGTTCAGAGGTTTTACTCTAAAATTTGGTTCTTTTTTCAAAGCTTCAATCTTTGTTCAATCGCTGATAAGCAGAGGTTGTGCTCCTAATTTTGGTTCTAATTTGAAAGCTGCGATCTTTGTTCAGTTGCTGTGAAATCGATTATTGGCAAAAATTAATGCTTTGTTCAATCCCTGATATGCAGTGGTTTTACTACAAAATTTGGTTCTAATTTCAAAGCTTTGATCTTTGTTCAATCGGATCTCAATCCTTTATTGTAAAAAATTAAGGGTTTGTTCAATCGCTGATATGCAGAGGTTTTACTCCAAAATTTGGTTCCAATTTCGAAGCTTCAATCTTTGTTCAATTGCTGTGAAAACGGTTATTCCCTAAAATTAAAGCTTTGTTCAGTCGCTGATATGTAGAGGTTTTATTCCAAATTTTGGTTCCAATTTCAAAGCTTTGATCTTTGTTCAGTCGCTGCAAAATCCTTTATTGACAAATATTAAAGGTTTGTTCAATCGCTGATATGCAGAGGTTTTGCTCCGAAATTTGGTTCCAATTTAAAAGCTTTGATCTTTGTTCAATCGCTGTTAAATCGGTTATTCACTAAAATTAAAGCGTTGTTCAATCGCTGATATGCAGTGGTTGTATTCCAATATTTGGCTCTAATTTCAAAGCTTTGATCTTTGTTCCATCGCTGCAAAATCGGTTAACGACAAATATCAAAGCTTTGCTCAATTAGCTGATATACAGAATCGGTTTTTATTTTTTCAAAAAACCCTAGCATCTATCAGTTGATTAATGTTATTTTTTCTTGAAGTTTCACTAAGATTTGTGTTTTTGTTCTGGTCTTTGTTGAATCTTTAATTCGAATCTCGGGTTTAATTAGAAAACTTACGTCTTTGTTCATGCTATTTGTGACTCGGTTTTTTTTGTTGGTCATTTTTTACATTTGAATTTTTTTTCTTCTTAATTTATCAAATCAGTTTTTATGCACCCTCCTTCCTACCCACTCTATTTTGTATTTTTTTAAATGTAAATGTTGTATTTTTTGAAATATATGATCACATTGCTTTTCATACTTCCAGATGCATGATGCATTTCGTGGCCCTGCTTTTCTGACTAAAATATTGAGGCAATATCACTCTAACGGGATCGATCCAACAAAACCATTAAGTATTATCAACCCGTGGGTAGTTAAAGAGCCACGTGAGGCAACATTGATGAGCGATCTATCAACTACTCGTGAAATACTTGGACCCGGTATGATTCTCCTGAGGAATTTCATCAGCGTCAAGAACCAGGTATTCGTTTTCTGTTAATCATTTAAGTTAACCACCGACACATGCTTAGCCTACATATGTTGTACTAATAGATTTTGTCATCTATGACTACAAGTAGAGTGTCTTTTTTGCTCTTTGAAAGGAATGTAGATTCATTAGCTTCTGCTATTACTATATTCATAATTCAAGAGTAGTGTAATTACTTTACATGTTTGAACTAATCTTTTAGGTTGATTTAGTGAAATTATGTGAAAAGTGGGGTTTGGGTCCCGGGGGCTTTTACATTCCCAGAGACCGAAATGGAGAAAAACTTCGACTGCAAATGATGTCTTTCGGGCGAAACTGGGATCCAGTAACAAAGTATGAGAAACCTTTTAGAAGTGATGGTTCTAAACCACCACCACTTCCATTTGAACTTATTTCGTTGGCTGAAAGCGCGATTCAAGATGCTCAAGCTCATCTGGACGGACTTCCTTCAATGCACCCAGATATTTGTGTAGTCAATTTCTATTCACCGGTCTACGGTCGACTTGGCCTTCATCAGGTTAGATTTTATTTGTACATACCCACTTTTTGAATGTGTCTTAGCCTCTATCTTTATCCACTTTGAAATAGAACATGAGTTTTTTTTATTGTGTTTTTTTTTCCAGGATTGCGATGAAAGCTCCGAAAGTCTACAAAGAGGGTTGCCGGTGGTTTCGATGTCTATTGGGGACTCTGCAGAATTCTTGTATGGCCATACCAGAGATGCTAGCAAGTTAGAGAGCCTTTATTTGGAGTCAGGTGATGTGTTGATATTTGGTGGCAAGTCTAGACTCATATTTCATGGGGTGAATCGAGTCTATCCACACACTTCTCCTCAGGAATTCATAGACCAAATAGCCCTTAAACCTGGCCGTCTAAACCTTACTTTTAGGCAAATTTGATCATATACTCTTATGCATATGTACCGTTTAGCTTCTTTCTTTTTTTTTTTAATTTAAAAAATCTCTCTTCCTTGGGATCTTGTGGGCAATCTCATCATGTTTCTGCTACTGAAATAATTGCCCAACATGCCATATTTTGTGCCTCCGTAGTAATGTTTTTTAAGGTTTATTTGAAGTGTACACTATTGTACTCCCCCACTTCATTAATTTCTTTTTCAGAATGATTCTTTCTAATAAAGTATTTTTTTTGACATTAGTCCTCAATAAATAATACTCCCTCCGTACATGTATGATCTTCCCATTACGCGTTACGAGACTTGACTGACTTTATTTTCAATTCAATTTAATTGATTATAGGAGTAAAATTTTAAAATAAAATTTATATAGTAATAAACTACATGAAAAATCTACAAAATTAAAGGTGGCAAGACTATATTATCAACAGAGTGATTATATCTATGGTGGATAGAGGGAGTAGTTAGTTATCAACAGAGTCTTTTGTAATTGGATAGTATTTTCTGAACAGTTCTCTATAAAAAATGCCTATTAAATGAGAGTTAAATAGATGGCAATTTTTTTTATTTTCCATCATCATATAAATTAGTCAATGGGTATGAAGAAGGGGAGGGGCGACCCTGATGTGGCAGATTGGAGTCGATGTGGCCATCGGGAAAGCGGCAACCATACCGGTTAGCCTTAGGAAGAAACTTTTGTTGGGATTCAAAACAAAGAGTGTGTTGGGTTTTGTGGGACAAAATGTAACAAAGAGTGTCTATGAATGGGCGAGGACAAAATGCTCCTCAGCCATTCATAGACCAAATAGCCTGGCCGTCTATATAAAACCCCTTCCAAAGGGGTGGGGTGGGGGGAGTGACGTGGCTAGCACAATAATACTTACAACTTACTTATTCCCAACTGGTGCACTCTCGACTTAGTTTGGTACTCTTCTGCCTAGTCTCCTAGGCTCCCGGGTTCCTTAACCCAACAGTGTCATTTAAAAATAGTAATTCAGGTGCCAGTTTCACACTTTTTATTGTATCATTTTGACATGAAAAGTTGCTCATAGATTCTCAAAAATACCATTTACATTTCCGTTCTAGAAAAGTATGTGTAATTCAATTTTTTTTTAGTGAATTGTAAAAATAAATAGGAAAGATGAATGAAAACATAATTGCTGTGTGGTTTCATGAAAAAATTATTAGTACATTATCTAAAAAAAACTATTGCATGCAAATTAGAGTTTGTAGTGATTTTTTATGATGGATGTTAGGGGTACATATAGAGAGCGATTGTCTTCAAATCAACTATAGTCTCGCATCTACCGAACACGTTCAACAAAGAATGTACTCTGTGATGTGACCAAGATTTACTCATTTGTATGTTTAGTTATGATATACACAAAATGAGTTATCGAACAGAATGAGTTTTTTCAGATATCTCACACACTTTTTAAGTGTATACTTTTAATGAACGTATTGTTTGCATTCACTTTTTAAGATTTAAGTGTTGTTGGCAACCCAATTCTTATGGAACATTATTTACATATTAACAGATTAAAAATAAAACTTTTTGTAATGTCCCAAAATCTATTCTAAAAGTTATATTAAATTATTATTCAAATAAACAAATTGTTTGATTAAAATAAATTATTGTTAAGCTTTGAGCCAAAATAAAATATGATCTGATATCCAATATAATAATCTTTTAGAACATTTTTATATAATTTAATTAAAGTTCAATGACTAAAAATGGAATTTTCAAAATTGGACCCGAAGGTTGAAAAAGATGAACTAAATTAAAGTAACGTCATTTCGAAATGAGAAAAAGATTAAAGTAAGAGAAAAATATAAATAATATATGAATAATAGGTTTTATTTAAATAAAGTTGGTCAAATCTCGTAAGTCGTGATGACTGATGAAAAGATTTTTGGAGTACGTAGGGTGTAAATTAAAGCATACTTCCTCCATATCTTTCTTTTTTCTTTTTTCATATGTCCAAAAAATCTTTCTCATTTCTATTAAAAAAATTACTTTTACTCCAACTAGTAGTTTTTAACGTATATATCACAGTGTCATACTTTTTCATTATTAATCTATCTATCACAAGTCACAACCTACTTTTATTTATCACATCCACGATCATTTTTGGAAAGTCAATACCAAAATATACTCTTCTTACATCCTTTAAAAGTAAAAAACATAAAGATTTTCTAGGACGAGGGAGTAGTAATTAATTATCGAGAGTAAATTCCCAAAAGTTTACCCAAATTAGATTACATAATTATGAATTAATTACCAAAATGATTTTGGTTAAATAAGAATAATGCTCTATTTTGGTTTTGATTAACGGTCATTGAAAAAATATTTAAGCTTATACAGAGTACTAATTTTCTAAAATGATTCTTTCGAATTGAGTGTTTTCCTAATTTAGCCATTTTTTGAAATAAAACTCATTAATTATAAAAAATTTTAATTTTATAGGATAAGAATATAATAAATAAATTATAAATATAATTTAATAAATTTTAAAGTATGTTTAAATTTAATTTAAAAAATATCATGTGAATAAAATACTTAATAAACGGTTCTATCTATAGCTAAGAATGGAATATGTCCGTTAATTTATTCATTATTGGCTGAAACACAATAGATTTTGTAGACATATATCGAAGTCAAAAACAAACTTTTATCAAGAATAAATGAAATGCAAAAATCAAATCCAGGCGGAGGTATTGATTTTTAATCAAGTAATCTAAACAATAAAGTAAACAAAAATTGGTTAATTAATTGATTTTTTCTTCTCTTCGTTCGATTGTATTTCTAAAAAGAAACACAAAAAAGAAAATGAGTGTACAATAACAAGCTATACTGGAAGTTCTTTGTGAAGTGCTTGTCCCTCCGCCGGAGCGACGACGAGCCGCCGGCAAGACGGGCAAGAAGCGCGCGAAACCAGCCACACGTCGACACAGCGCGCGTGGAAGCCATGGCAGCACACCGGCAGCACCCGGAGTTTTTCTCCGGCGGAATATTCCGTGAGACAGATCGGGCATTCCGAGAACTTCCGGGCATGCTCCGCCGCGAAACTGACCACCGGCAGCGAGTCCAGGACGCCTCTGCTCAATCCCCTGTACGCCGGCCCCGCCACCCAGCCGGACATCCACCGGTGGAAGGCGATAAAAGCGCAAAATAAGGCGAAGAAGAGAATCGCCCATATGATCACCGAGATGAATAAAAAGACGATTGAGAATTCAAGTTTCGACATATCGCCGTCCGCCGGAATTTCTTCGGTTTTGTCCTGACGAGTGACGACGGCTGCCGGAATTTGTTCGGTTTTTATAAACCGTCAACCCGCGAAATTTTGGGAATTCATATTTTTAAAAATGAGCGGGACCTAAAATAAATGTACTTTTGAATATTTGAGTCTTTTGCATTACGGAGTATTATTGATTATTTAAATTGAAATAAAACCATTTTTGGTAAAATCTTTAAAATGGAGCTAAATACACAATTTGATTTGGAGTAATTATTTGATACAAAACTTCTAAATCAAAGTTATTAACAAATCAATCATTTTGACAATGTTTAAGAACAATTCGAAATTGTGTCTTATCGCGCGTTAATTTTCCTAAGAACGTATCCTTAATTTAAAATTAAAATTCCATTTGTTCTTTAAAAAAAGTAATTTGGGTATTAGTGTCGGCAATTTGGCACTCTAGTGCCCTAGCATATTAGTCCTTTTTAAAAAAATGTATTTCATTAAATTCTTGTAGTAAAAATTTAATCATAAAATTGAGGAAAAAAATAAATTAGATTACAATATATGTTTGATATAGTGTTAAATGACAGATTTAAAACATCTTATTTTAAATTAAAATATACCCTGGATCATCCATCATTGTCATCATATCATTGTCGCCAATAGCCACTCAATTGTCGTCCATGAGTATAAACTAGACCAACGCCAACTCTTGTAACCATTGGTAAAAAATACTCATTCCGTTCCCAATTTGATTACAAATTGCGGGTTACAAATTAAGTTTCTTACATTTTGAAATCATTTTATTTATAAATTGGTATATCAATAAGATATAAAAATTACATATAAAAAATTACGTCAAAAGTTCTACAAAACAAGAGGTGACAAGAATATTTTATTTTATCAAATATTTTATAAAATCACGTAAACAAACAAAAGTTATCGAGAGGAGAGAGAAAAAAAAATTGTAATCTATTTAGGGACAGATGGAGTATCAAACGTTAGCCTTGTTTGATAATAGAATTTTCAATTAGTGTTGCGTTTTAAATAAAACTTTAATAGTTTAAATTAGTTTTTAAAAAGTTATCGTTAGATAATCCTTAAGTTGAATTTATGCTTCACTTACATTTTTCTTTTGAATTAAACTAGTTAATTTAAATTTTTTATTTTTTCTTATGATAAAAAAAAGGAAAAGCATAAAATTTGTACCAAAAATAAAATCTCTATCTTTTTTGAAAATATGTCATATGAAGCAACATTATACAAAAAAAGTAAAGAAAGCAAAAAAAAATAAATTTTCTTTATCTAATATTTTTTCACGGAAAAAATAAAACCAAAAAATAACAATGTTTAAAACAAAAAAATAAATTATTCAATCATACTAATTTAAAAGATACTCCGTATATTAAATAAAAATAAAAGTGTAATCGTATCAATTACGGAGTATAAAAACTACTCCCAATTATATTAAATTTTAATTGTAACTAAAAAAATTCATAATTTATCGTAAATGTTTTTTCATAATCTGACCCAAAAAATTAAAATAGAATTTTTTTTCTCTGAGGGAGTAGTTAGTAATCATGCCATTCTATGAGCTTTCCCAACACATTGAATAACTAAAATCGCGTATATACACATATATGGAGTAAAATTAATGTGCATTTTATTGCTAATCTATCCATTCTTAATTAATTCAGATACGTCTAATTATGTACAGTTTAATTTTTACCATTTAAGAATCCCAATTATTATTCATTCTTGATATGCTTCAAATTTTCATTATAAAAGGCCTAACACTTTCATGGTTAAATACATTTTAACTCTCATCTCATATATTTTTCGTGCTAGTAAAAAAGAAAATCAAATGGCTACCAAGTTGGATATCTTCAAGCTTTGTCTTTTGTTGTTTCTTTTGGCATTGAGCTTTCATGGCGGACACGCAAAGGACGAGAGGCGTTCAAACATCATCGGTGGCACGAAGTATTCTCGGGCGACAATTTCACGTTTCCCGGTGTTATCGAAGGAAGGAATGGTCTCAGCGTCCGCCCCGTCGCCGAATAACAACCATGTCATAGCGGCCGGTGGTGACTGATTCAGTAATCTGAAGTTCTTTTGACACGAATTTTAGGTGTGATGTTATGATATTTTCGGGACTATTTGATACTTTGTTGGGTTCCAAATTATTGGATATCGTTATATGTCAACAACATTGAGTGTCAAATATAATGTTTTTTTAATTCTAAATTTCTCTCTCTGTCGCAAATAAATAAAGAATATGTGATCCATAATTTTTTATTTTTCTAAACAAATTTCAATCGTCGTGATTTGAAATTGAAAAAATAGATTCTAAAGGGAGAGACTATATACTTTGAGTTGTCTTGTAATCCCAATTCTCTTTTCTCAAACATATTTAAATATCTGCCTTTACATTTTTCACTATTTATTTAAATTTCTTGAATTGAAATTGAGAAAATATATACTCCTATATATTAGGGAGGAGAGAATTTCTCTGTCACTACACCAACATGCTTCCACATATTCCGTGTATCTAAAGTATCAACCACCAGAGTAAATATAAACAAATCAAATATATATACTTCGTATGATTGTGATTCAAAATAAAAGTCTGATCTCACTTCCACTGGCTTGATCAATAAAAGAAGTCAAATTTACTTTTGTTGAAGTTTGTGCTATTCTGAATTTAAAACTATGAACTATACATATGACCTTTTTTTCTTGATATTCAAAACTTCTCATGTTCCATAGATTCAAATATTCCTGCACCGTGTGACTTCTTTCAATTTCTACATTGTTTTTGTAAAATATTTTAGCAAAAGAATTTAAAATATTATATTAAAAGTATTTTCCAATACAGATACTATGATTATATGAATTTTTTATATTTTAATACATTGTATCTTCTCATACATAATTTGTGAAAGTTCATGACAAAAAACGAACCATACATTTAATTAACCAATAGGGGGAGTAGTACATATAAAAATTAGAAAATAACAAAAACATGCATGTATTAACTCTCTAGTAATTATGTGGCCTTTTTAGAATCTCCATTAAATGCATTGTTTTTTATTTCATAAATTTAGCTAAATAACACTAAAATATAATGATTTTTACTAAATAGTACTCGTATCATATATTTTTATTTCTCAATGTAGCACTTTTAGTTATTATTTTAAGTAAATATTTACCATCGTTGTATATCATTCCTCATTCTAGATATTATTAAGTGTTACCCCGGAGTATTTAGGTAATACAAGAGTTTAAGTCCTACATAAGAAAATAACTTATTCCGAATGTTTTAGTGTTATTTATAACAAATATTTCTTTGTATATTTTTGAACCAAATTGTATTGTTATTAATTACTCCGTGTAATGTATATGTAATATCTAATGTTGACTTGTTTTCTTTAGCTTATTTTTATAGAAACTGGATTAAATTTGAAGATTTCAGATCAAATCAAAAAACATTGTTTTATATTTTGAACGAATACACCACCCCCTCTTGTGGTATGCAACAAGGACAACTAACAAATGGGAGTGGTTAGTTGAAGATGAAACAAGGAGTAGAAATTTAAAGTAAAGTAGGCCATATATACATATAATCCACTTGCCTCCTCCACTATATATGTTTTGCCATTGTTGAAGCAGTTGGATCTGTCATATAATATTGTGCCCTCATAAACCACTCAAATAAAGTCTCAAACCTTTTTTTTTTGTTTTGTTTTCATTTCCATAATGTGATCATTTCCTAATCATCAATCTTTTGAAATGTGGTGCATGATCGACTAATCGTTCATACTCTAATCCTAGCACTCTTAAAATCCTGTATTTGACCGTTGTTGTGCAGTTGACAAGATATAGAATCTATATTAAGATGAAATATTTGAGTTTGAGATGATCTTCATATGACGATGTAAAAAGAACTCTCATTTTACGTTGTTTCACGATGAGTTGTTATCAATAGTGGCCACAAGCCTAACGAGAAGAAGCAGAATCCTTCCGATGTTGATACCTGATCCGACGTGAGTGTTTATAATGTGATCGGGCGACTGCACTGCACACGCTTCACTACTCAACCATGTGTTTACACACTGGAGGATTTTATTAATTGTTTTCGGATGAGTCGTTCTCTTGTTTTACGCAGACTCGTTGATATTCAACGTGAGGTGGAGACTCCAAATCCAACTCGTCCAATAATAAAATGTTAGTAATTTAATTTTTGAAGATATATATTTAAAAATGTAAAAATAGATTTTTGAATCTCTAGTCTAAAACCCGAGACTTCAAACGAGTTTCTAGTAAAGTTTTGATCCTAATTAAAATTGATACGACAAAGAGAGAAAATTTGATGAACAATGTTTCAAAATGATACTCCATATGATACTTGGGAAGAGTAGGTGAAAGTTGGTAAAAAGAGCGTGAGCAGGAGCGCCTCAGCTCCCATAAGTCGAGGCAGATCTCTCTTTCCCTCTCTCTCTCTCTCTTTCTCAAACCTCCCGATTTTCTTTCTCTCTTCTCTAGCTGACCCCAACTTTTTTCCGATTTTTCTTTTCGCCATTTCTCCCTTTCCATCTCCTCTTTTCACCTCTTTCTACTTCCTACTTTCCACCCATTTCTCCCTGTCGGCCCGCCATGACTGTCGAAATCTCCGGCGGATTCACCGCCACCATGTTCTTCGCATCTTTGACCTTGATTCTCTGTTTCTCCCGTCCCTCGTTCGCCGGCTTACTTTCCGAGCCGGCGGGTCCGGGGGATTTCCCGTCAACTGTCCCGTCGTACCCCTTTCAGCCCGACGGAAAAGTCTGCCGGCTTGACTTGTCCGACGAGCTTTTCGGCGGGGTCAGCGCCGCCTGCGGGAGGGACCTTGACCGGAGCCGGTGTTGTCCGGTGCTGGCGGCGTGGCTTTTCGCCGCTCACGCGCGGATGTCGTTGGATGTTCCGGCGAATACGCCGCCGTCTACGGCCGGGTCCGAGCGGCCTTTGTTGCCGGACGACTCCCAGAAGTGCGTCAACTCGCTCCAGACATCCCTGGAGGCCCGGAACATTCGGATTCCTCAGCCCAATGCCTCGTGCGACGCCGTTTTGTGCTTCTGTGGCATCAGACTCCACCTCATCACCTCCCTGAGCTGCCCCGCCGCGTTTAACCTCACCGGCGTTCGCAACGCCACCCCCACCGCCGCCGTGAGAAACCTAGAGAAAAACTGCCGGAACTCCTCCTACGCCGGCTGCACCAGGTGTCTCGGTGCTCTCCAAAAGGTTCACATTATTACTTTTTTTTATTTTTAGGGCATCTTTGGGAATAATGTAAATATTTTAAAAAGGTTATTAATGAGTAGCGTTTAACATTAACGTTTTTAAATTTAATCACGGTTAAGATTTTATTCATATTTATATTTATAAATAGATAAATGTTATAAAAATTTGAAATCTAGAAATCATTCTGAAAAATAAATTCTTGATATTACATTTATATCAAAATACAATATATTTTTCCGTATGTTTTGGTCAAATTTTGATTAAAAAAAAGTTAAAATGAGAATCTCTTTTCGAACAACATTAGTAAATATGAATACTTTCTTCCAAAATTATCATCTTAATTTAATTCTTTATTTAAAAAAAATTAAAGTGTAAATTTACTATACAAGAGTAATTAAATTTGTTTTAAGAGGTAGGGATTAGTTTTATTTAAAATTTGCAGATATTTAATTTGTGGTAAAAAAGATTAAAAGTCGAAGGAAATAAATAAATAAAATTATTAATCGGATATCTATTTGAGATTGGTACAGATCAACGGCGGAGCAAAAAACGGGACGCACAAAGGGCGAAACGACGAAGACGGCGGCGGACGGGCGGCGAAGATGTTCAGGCGGGACTGTCAGCTGATGGGGCTGACGTGGCTGCTGGCGCGGAACAAGACGGCGTACATCCCGACGGTCTCGGCGGTGCTACGCGCCGTCATGTACAGCTCACATCCGCCGCAGGATTCCAAGTGCAGCCCGGACCAGGAGAACATGCCGCTGGCGGTGAACTCCGTGCAGCTCGAAAAAGGGGAGTCGCCGCCGCCGCCCGGAGCTGCTTCGCCGTTGCGGAAATTGTTTCCGGTTTTGCCCTTGCTCTTGTTGGTCGTCAATCAGCGGAATGGGTGGGCGTGAAATGGGGTTAGGTGACAATGGTGCCCCTCAGATGTCGGGCTTTCACGTGAAGCTAATAGACAAAAATGGTGGAAGGTTGTTTTTGTCATTTTGTCCCACTGTATATTCACTAGTCTCCCTTTTTTTTAAGAAAAAATGGTTAATCTCAAATCAAGTTAGAAACTCAGTACGGTTTTCCCAATCGCTTATGATTTTATACATGCATAGATGATATTATTTGTGTTTACGGATAATTATAGTCTTAGTATGTATAAATCACATGATTATTATCCGTAATGAGATCTTAACATTTTTGTAATCTAAGACTCTATTTTTTTGGGGCAATTGAGTTATAACGTTTGTTTGATATGAAAAGAGCGAGATCTGTCTTTGATACGTATGAAACCGAATCTTATGCGTAATATAGAATGTAATCATTTTTTACTATTCGTGTCAAAAATTGAATCCGAATTTTATTTATATAACACTTCTCTCTCGATTAGTTGAGCTAGCCAATTCTTACAGATCAAGTACTTTTGACTTGGTGTTGGTACTATGATCTTGTACAATATTTTGGATCAATATTTGGCTGTAATCCATTGCCAAGAGATTGACAAAGTCTTTTTTTAGTTAATAACAAAACTCATGAAAATGACGCCAAAATAAAGACAGGATTTTTTAGGCTAAATCTCCATTGAGGTTTGATGTAATGCAAAGTCAAGTTTGGTGATTAAAGTGTTTTTTAAATGGATTTTTAGTTAAATTATGTGATTGTATTCTTAAAAAAATAGTTTTATTGGTCGCACTGGCTTAAATATTTATATTTACTTTTAAAATATTTTATAATAAAGGTATTTAATGTTAACATTTTCAAAATTAATTTGAGTAATTTACCTAAATAGGACTAAAACATAATGACTTTCCCAAAATACGACCATATGTTTTTATTTCCGAATTTATGACCTTTGGTCATTATTCTTTAGTCATTATTCAAGTAATATCTATCATTACTGGGCATTATTCCTTCCACGAAGATATTATTAAGTCCTATTTAGGGAATAAAAAAGTTTAAGTCCTAGATTAGGAAAGCCATTATGTTTTAATCCTATTTAGTGCAAATTTCACAATTAATTTATACCATAAAAAATTACCTAAAAGGCTAAAACACAACCGTCAATTGAAAACCATTTTCCAAAGAGGACTTTTTTGTCATAATCACCTTTTAAAATTGTATTTGTATAAAATTATATTTTTGAAATAAAAAATTGATTCAACAACTATTAGAAATCTGCCAAAATAAAACAAAAATATAGCTCATATCCCAAAATAAAAGTATCATACATTTATCACGAATTTTATTTTACACTGTGACAATGTAATACCGTATAATGGCATTTCACATTATTTTTTAGTATTGTATGATGACATTATATCTCTAATATAGGAATAAATACATGGCACTTTTGGTTTGTTTATATTTTACTCTTAGTTTATTCTTTTTCCCGTGTTTGATAAATAAGGTTTGAGATAGTTTTTGGTTCAAAAAATTGTGTCACACAATTTTTATATTCAAGCTGTCTTTAAAACGAATTTTTGGATGTACAATTTTTTGTATAAATATTCTACAAAATTGATAGAAATATGTAGGGTCTTTTGGCTAGGGAAACCTATTTTCTCACAAATATACTATCTTCCTCCCATATTAAATTGTCGATTTCGAGTTTGCGATATTTCAATTTAAAATTAAAAATCATGAAATACACATTTGAAATCTATATCAAAAGTTCTATAAACATAAAGTTCCATAACTATATTAGGTTATCAAATCAGTAACTAGTCCATTTTTAATTTTCAATTAAGTACTCCGTAATAAATAATTAGTCAGAAAATTATTCCAAGGTGACGCAAGTTATCTTGAAACAATTCGCATGTCCCTTTACTTGGACAATGACATCAAGAGCATTTACATTTAAGACAAATGTTATGGTAGACTTAAGGTCTATCATTGACCTACATATGAACAAAATAATCATTTATTTACTACTTAAATAAGCATTTGTTTTTTTAAATAAAAAAATTATTTAAGAAGGTATACGAAATTGTTATGCACCAAAGAAGCACTCAACAGTTCATTGTAGAGAACAAGATGTCATAAAGAGTAATGAACAAGATGTCCTCTTCCAATCTTTACAATTAAATTTAAGGATCCATATTGCCTTTTTGAGAATCGAAAAATCCTGTGATATTTCAACAAATCTTGCATCACCAAAAATAATTTTCTCATAAGGTAATATATAGTTGAAGGAAAAATACTTTCTCAAAAAATTTCATTCTAATTTCCTATGTTAAATATAATAAATACTCTGTAATCTTTTAAGAAAAAATATTTTTTTTGAAAAAAATACGGAGTATCTCTCACTCAGAAAGAAAATATTTGTCGTTGCTTTCGAAAAAATTCATATTCACGCTCTTGCCGCAACCACATCCGCCCTCATGCCCCACCCCCGCTCCCGTGCCCATCCACCCTCACCCCGCTATGTCTGCCCCCAACCCGTCCACCTCACCAATGCCCAATCCCCACCCATGCCTACCTCTACCCACCCTGTATCCACCGTTGCACGCGCCCACAACCTCTCCCTCCCCCACCCTTGGCCACCCTCACACCACCCCACCCANCCTCCTCTTCTATGTTGTATTGTTTTTAAATTGTCTCAAAATATTTTTTTAAATATCCAATTTCAAATACTAGTAATGAAAAATATTTTTGTGTGTAAACTGGCCAAATGGTAGTGACATGGCAACATATTATCAACATGTTCAGTATATTTTTCAATATTTTTACTCAATAACTTGCAAACCTTGCAAAAGCCATGCCCTTTTTCTTAAACCTTGCTCATAAAGAATTATACAATAGCACAATGATCATACTATATATACTACTATAAATAGTACAAGTGTGGCATTAACTTTGAAGAGAATGGCTTGCTCCAAAGAGCAATGACAATTACTACAAGAGAGCAATTTGTAGGGTGAAAAGGCGTTTATGCCTCCCACCACGGGGCTTCGCCGGTCCTGAAATCAGTCTCAACCCAGGGAACAAACACAACCTTATCATCATCATTGACGTTTGCATGAGCCAAGGCCAACGACTGTTCCAAGAAGAAGAAGAAGAAGATCAAGCACCGTAACGAGTCCGTTTGGCAATCTTTAGCTATTACGAAGTACTATGTGAAAAGGGTAAATGACGCTTTTACCCTTAAGGAGAGTTGACTTACCAAAGGAGCGGGTCCCCTAACGACTTTCCCTTGGTTGTTGTATTGAGAGCCATGGCAGGGACACATGAACTTGTTCTCAGCTGCATTCCATGGCACCACACAGCCAAGGTGTGTGCACACTGCATTGATGCCATATGTTGCTAAACTCCCGTCGTCCTCCACGACAAGGTAAGTCGGGTCTCCCTAAAGTGCACCACCATCAAAATGATACACATATGACATTATTACCTCACTTTCTACAACAACAATAAACGAACAAATCTAGTAGAATTCCACAAAAAAAAGTAGGCTCTTTTGGACTTTGATGCATTATTTTTTCGTTCGTGTGGGATTCTTTTGGTATTTTACTATCTTGTGGATTCACCTGAATTTGTTGTTCAGAAAACTAGACTCTCTACAAATAGCCCAAGAATAACATACCTTCAACCCTTGAGTGAGGGTTCGATTCCCAGGCCCATGGTTCTTTAGCCACACAGAAGCAACAACGTCATTCCCTGCAGCATCCTTTGCAAGGGTGCCACCGCCTCCGCCTCCTGACCTGATCTCAATGTAGTACAATAAGCGTACGATCATACGACATCAAAACGAAATGTACACCAAAGAACCCGATAGAATTTAGGATTGGGTAGAGCTAACTGGATTGGGCAATAAGACACTTTGAACCACGTTAAAAGATTGAATCTAATCGATTAGTTAGTTCAACTCAAGAGCTTATATACCGATTATTTTACTCTTAGACTTCCGATGTGGGATGCACTGTAACAAAACCCAATGGAGTTGTACACTAAACAATAAGAAAAAGCACAACGGACACTTCATACTTTCTAAAAGTGGGGCACGACTCCTTGCGTGTTGACCTCCAAGAACCCAATGGAGGTTGGATTATTCCATGTCTTGTTGTAGTTCTTGACTTTTTCCCCCAAAACGGGATGCGATAATAATATCGTAATCTCATATTTTTTTTTTCATGAGCTAAACACCCTCTAATGTCAGCCATAACAATGCTGTCTACTACTAGCATCCTAGTTAGACCAAAATTGGGATCCTTTCTTCCTTATACAAAGCATCGATGTCAAAATGAAGAAATCGATACAAAAATGTTTCTCTCAAAAGGTATTTAAGTGCACAAAACCCTTGGAAAGATACAATCTTTAAATCTCAATACTCCAAAAAATTAAAAAAAATCATGCCAATACTGTAATAAATTATAGATTTTGCAAGAATAATTATACTGGCACTCCTAGAAATTTAATAATTTTCAAATAACTAAAAAAAAAGAAGAAAGAAATGGAAAAGGGAGATACCTGGGAGGTACAAAGAAGAGAGCATAAGGTACAACCATCGCAGCAGTAGGGAGAGAAACGGCACCTAAAAGAAGCAAGTTCATGAATTTCCTCTTACCCATATCCGGCACTCTATCGTTGGCCGGAATACTGGTGGCCATGGCCGTGACTCTCAACCCCTTCTTCCTCCGGCCGCCGAACTTGCCGGATCTCGCCGTCACTGCTTGGGAGGCAGAGAAAGCGCCGTTCTTGGTCGACCATATCTGAACAGATAAAAACTTTAGGTCAAAAAAAAGAGAAGAATTCTAGAGTGAAATTGGAGCGAGAGAGATGGAGAAGAACAGAACCCGAGAATGAGTGATGGGTGAAAGTGATGAAGTGGCCATGTGCTTTTGCAGGGTCTGAGTATGAGATCGGAGGTGCTAATTCTGAAGAAAGATGGCCGGAGAAGAAACGTAGATTAAAGATTTGGATAAGGTAATTTAGCCTCTTACATCAACCACACATTTGGAATTTTGGATAGGAGGGGCATTTTATTATACTCATTTTATTTAGAGAGTCAAATTATATAAATTTTGAATTTTTATTTTCTCTCCATACTAAAATTAACTTTATTAGACTTTTCACGGTCTTCAATACGAAACTTTGACCATTAGTATCTCCATTTTTATATGAATATATATTATAAAACTAATATACTTCAAAACTATGTTTCAAAATGAATCTATTGATAAGAAACTTATATGAAAATTCAACCATAATATACAGTCAAAGTTTAAAAAGTTTGACTGCAAAAGTCAAATTGGGAAGTTAATTCTAGGATAGAGAGAGTAATTTTCAATTTGTATTTCATATTAATATAATGAAATAAATTTTGAAAGATCTTAATAAGATAAATATAACAATATCACTTTTATACTAATATACATTACAATTTTTATTTAATTGAAATCCAAAGTTCTTTCTATTTGATTTGAAAAAATCAAAATGGACAAATATACAGTAACGAAAAGATTATTATTTATTTTATTCGAATTAGAATATATTAGAGATTCATGTAGTCGATCCCACATAGTGAGTAACGCTTTGTTGTTGATTAGTATAGACTAGATTAAATTAAATAAGATTAAATCTAAACAAAACAGATCAAATTTAATCAGAGCATAAAAAGAGAACAAGCACTATAAGACATATGGTTGCATAAATGAAAATTAGTCATACGTCTAAGAAACACTGAGTAAGTGATGTTAAAATATGTGAAATTTGCGCTAAATAGGACTAAAACATAATGACTTTTTTAATGTAAGACTTAAACTTTTTTATTCCCTAAATAGGACTTAATAATGACCTAGTGGAAGGAATAATGCCCATCAATGATAGACATTTAGTTGAATAATGACTACTTGATAATGACCAAAAGTCCTACATTTGTAAATAAAAATATATGGTCGTATATTGGGAAAGTCATTATGTTTTAGTCCTATTTATTTAAATTTCTCTAAATTTCAGTTTCTACATAAAAAAGGATTTATACAAAAAAATCATATTTTGGTGTATTCATATTAATATTTCATCCGTCCAAAAATTTTCTTCTCGAGTGGTCTTTCTGGCGAGAAACAGTTGATGGGTCTTTGGCCCATCTCCATTACGCCAACGAAATAGTCTTTGGCCCATCTCCATTACGCCAATGAAATAGCCTTCATCCTTTCTCGCGATTGACTACGTCCGATCAATGATTGAGCGGGATAAGATGACCAAAAGTTGATGGCGGAGGAAGATCAGGGCGAGATGGAACCTACCATGTTTATCACTTTTCATGTACTCCCTCCGTCCCAAAATATTTGCAACATTAGATTTTTCACTAGTCGTGTGAACTTTTGTTTATTTCTACATTTTCATTAGTTATTTGATAAAATAAAATATTCTTGACCCCTTTTATTTCGAAGAATTTTTCATGTAGTTTTTTGATATGTAAATTTTATTTTTTATTTCTATACCAATATGTAAATAAAATGAATTGAAAAAACTTGATATTTTGTATCGGTAATACAAATGTGGCAAATATTTAGGAACGGAGGGAGTATAATTCTAATGCTAGATCTATAAATAGGGTCGAGACCCCATTGTAATTCTCAAACTCAATGCAGCTAATACACTTTTGTCATTCTTCGTATTCTAAAGCTCTGTGCTAGTCTAATTATATTTTCTTATCCAGTAATTCGATTCGCTTTCTCGGATCAGATCTTCTGGTGGAGTTTATTTGCATTACAAATTTATTTTAAACACTGACTTGCTAATAAATAATTTTCAAAACATGTATTTTCATATGAAAAATGATGTAATATAAATAAGGTTATATTTTTACTTTTTTCTTATTACCCATTTTTAGTGAGCTTATATTTTAAAACAAGTTTTTAATTATCTTACATTTTTTTAGAATGTTACTCAGTACATATTTAATTTTTTATAGTATTCATAATATTCTTAAATATTCTAAAATATAAATTAAGAATTTAAAATAAAATTATCTAAGAGGTTTAATATATGCATTTTGATATTTCATGATTCAGTATTTTTAGTGCAAAATACAAGTGTTAGTATAAATCAAAATATTCTGAGAGTAAATCTCATAAGTCATAACCCTTTGATTGATTCAAACTCAATCACACTAGATCTTTATGTGAGTTATCCCTTCTCAAATGGAAAATGCTAGGGGTACACCAAAAGTGTACCCCAAACATCCCCCACCCCTTTCATCACCATAAAAAAAGCAAGAAAAATTAAAAAAAAATAAAATAAAAATTAACCAGACCTGACATCACTTATGCCGTTCAGCAGCTCTGCCTCCACCTTCATGCGCCCCACGACTCTCACCTCACGGCCATGAAGAGAGTTCTCCGTTATCTTAGCGACACTGCCACTCACGGTATCTACCTGACTCGCTCCTCGACAGACTATCTCCAGGCTTATTCTGATGCTGATTGGGCTGGCTGTCCTGACACCAGACGTTCCACTTCCGGGTACTGTATTTTTCTGGACAACTGGATTGGGTAATAAGACACTTGGGTTGAACCGCATTAAAAGATTGAATTCAATCGATTACTTAGTTCAACTCAAGACCCTTATATACCGATAACTTTTCTATTCAACTTCCGATGTGGGATAAACTCTAACACTCCCCCTCAAGTGGACAACCGGGCCATTTTGAATCTAACCGGTTGACCACTTGCAAATGAACTCCCAATCCCTTGACTTTTTTTTTGAGCGCCAACACCTAAAGACCACGAGCCGCTGGGTATGGATTTCCAGACGAGCAATCGTGTTAAACAGGCCACAGGCCATTGGCTACACACTCCATACGGACAACTGGGCTAAAGACAAACGGGCTGCTAGGAATGAATGTCTAGACGGACACCTTGACAAACGAGGTGGGCCAAAACCTGCTTTGATACCATGATAGAATTTTAGGATGGGTATGGACAACTGGATTGGGTAATAAGACACTTGGGTTGAACCGCATTAAAAGATTGAATCCAATCGATTACTTAGTTCAACTCAAGACCTTATATACCGATAACTTTTCTATTCAACTTCCGATGTGGGATAAACTCTAACAATATCCCTTCTCAAATCGAAGATGCATGTTCTTACCCAAACTCGGTATGACCAACAGAGTTGCCACATAATACTGGTATTTGTTTTGTTTTTTTTATTAGGGTCCTCAATACATCAGTACATCACCAGTGACTAAATAGAAGGTCTATATTATTGGAACTAAGAAGTCCGGATCCGGAGAAGTCCGACTTCCGAGGAATCCGGATTCCGAGAGATTCGGATTCCGAGAGATCCGAATTCTGAGAAATCCAAACTTGAGAAGTCCAAATCCTTTCATGACCGAATCACATTCTAATTAGGATTGATCTTGACTTATTTGTTTCCTAGTTTGATTATGATTTGTTTCCTTGTAGGATTTGTATTCCTTGTCTTTTTTTGGAATCATCCTCTCCTATAAATAAAGGAGAAACCCCTTGTAACTAAACAGAACAATTGAATATACAGAATATTTTCCCTCTTATTATTTTCTACATGGTATCAGAGCGAGGTTTGAATTCTTGAGACCTCAAACACGCTTCTTCCCCTGCCGGTGGGCACACACAATTCAATGCCTACCGGCGGGATATTGTAATTTTTTATTTTCTTTATTTGTTCTCCTTCACTAAAGAATATCATGAACTCCTTCAACGAAGAACATCGCTGTCGAGGAATCCCGTCCAACCATCAATCTTGAAGTTGTCCGAGAAGGGTTGTTCTACATAGACAGACAACTCTTTCCTTTGCAGGCAATAAAAAAAAAGTCGGCGTTCAGGGTGTTCAAAAGAATGGCGTTCCCCCTGTTTGTTCGAATATGGTGAAGGTTTGAAAAGAATGGCGTTTCTTTACATGACTGATTATTCGGCGGATTCGAAAAGCTTGGCGTCTCCGTTGAAAAAAAACTGAAGTGTCGAGATGACACTTGGACAACGATGGCAGCGGCTTCCTCAAGCTTTGTTGCTTTGTTCAATCTTTTGATGTCCAAGCTGGGCATGTTGAACTCCCATGCTCCAGCTTGAGGGGGGGTGTTGGCAACAGAAGAAAGAAGCCGGATCGAAGAAGGAAACTGACTTTGTCCTCCTTCGCGACTGCGTGACTTCGTCACTCACACCATTCAACGTCCCTCTCCTGATTCACTCAAACCAACAACACCTTCAGGTACAGCACACTGTATTACAAATTTTATTAACGCTGACAAATTTTCTGTTTCCCATAGATGTTTTTTGGCAGCTATAAGTGCAGATGTTGAGCCTACATTCTTTTCTGAGGCGGTCAAAAATCCGCTATGGGTACAAGCTATGAAGGAAGAAATTCAGGCGTTGGAAGCTAATGGTACTTGGTCACTCGTCCCCTTGCCTCCAGGAAGGAAAACAATTGGATCTAAGTGGGTCTACAAAATCAAGCACAAGTCTGATGGTAGCATTGAACGCTACAAAGCCCGTTTGGTAGTGCTTGGCAATCGTCAGAAAGAGGGAATTGATTTTAAAGAAACTTTTGCACCAACAGCTAAATTGGTTACCGTTCGCACTCTCTTAGCTGTTGCCGCTGCCCGAAATTGGTTCTTACATCAGATGGACGTTCATAATGCATTTCTTCATGGAGACCTTCGCGATGAAATATACATGACTCTTCCCCCCGGGTTTGCCTCTCGCGGTAAAGGATTGGTTTGCCGTCTTCATAAATCTCTCTATGGTCTTCGACAGGCTCCACGTTGTTGGTTTGCTAAACTCACCTCTGCATTAAAACACTTTGGGTTCCATCAATCCAAGGCTGATTATTCTCTGTTTACTCTTTTGCGCGGCACCATCG